GCCAACTCAATCCAGCAAGAAGGCCGCAACTGCGTTGTCTGGGGCAGACCTAGCAAATCTCTTTCATGCCTTTGTAGTAGACTACAGTAACGTGTTGAATATGGGGCTGCCCTTGATGAGAATTTTAAGGTCTCCCCCAGTGCAGAAAGCAGCAGCCCGTCTTCCAATAGGGTAGGCCACTGGAAACACATTCATCCCAAGTTCAGCATCTGAACTGGTCCCTTGTTTCCGTCTGGCACAGATCAAGGTGCTGGTGTGTGCGTGTATTATAGTTTCATTCTTTTTCATTAAAATGTACAAATAAAAGTCAAACGTAAAATGTAATAAATGAGTTCCAATCTGTTCCAATAATGCAACACAACTTCTTCCACATTGCCTTCAACTATTTATATTCTGTAAGTTTATTAGATTTCTCCTTCCAGCCACAAAACTGAACTACTTTATATATAAGCAAAAAGGAAATTCTTATAACATTGGTAACACTACTATTTTCTTGATATTTAATTCTAATCCAAAACCTATACTGCTTTCCCACAAACAAGCTAACTGAGGCAGGTTCTGCTCCTCTCATTTTAAAGGCTAAGTTAATTTGTTCAGCATGAAATTTTGCCAAGTGCTTCTCCATTTGTCCCCAATGGGAGCTGCTTTATTTTTACTTACACACACACACACATCCATCCTTGTTGCTACCAATAAATTACCTATCAACTCTCAGCGTTCAGGGCTAATACTGTATTTCATCAAGCTCAATAAAACAATAAATGATCCTTAGCAGCTTTCCAAAATTGCCATATCTTTATACAGTATATTTATTCATATAGTCTGGTTGATCTTTTTACCCTTCAATATTCTTCTGATGTATTTCCAAACTTCTTTTTAATTTTCTTGCACATGTATAATGCCACTGGTACAAATCCTTTAAAAAAAAAAAAAAATGTCCAAGCACTGCTGCATTTAGAGATACAACAAAAAATGCAACCATTGAGATACTGGGATTATGAACTGCTAGATCAGCTTTCCCCAACCTGGTGCCCTCTGATGCTTTTGACTCTCGAATCCCATCAGTCCCAGCCAGGATAGCCAATGGTCAGGGATGATGGGAGTTGCCGTGCAAGAATACCTGGAATTCACCCAGCTGCTCTAGATATTCCTCCCATATATTAGTATATCTTGAACCCCCATCAATACATTACAGGTACTTGAGAGAGCTTGTTTAGAAGTTCTTAAGTTTACTCTAAGAGGTCCCGCTATCTTTCTATTCTCTTGGTCAGCTCTCTGCAGTTAAATTCATGATCTGTCTAAACATAGGTAGTCTGTTGCAGCAAAATAACAGTCTCAAGGCACAAGAAGACTTGCACAAATTTCCATGGGCCAATGGACCCTGGGCCATGGCAATTTATGTTATAATGCTTTCGTCAGTCTCTTTGTTGCTCAGACTTCCAGACTGCACGATTTCTCTTATTTATTGGAATGCAATACTTTCATGTTCTTTTTTTTAAAAAAAAATACATAAAGGCATATTTCTCCCATGTACTTAAATCACCTGTGCGTCTGCCACGCTAAAATATTTGTGATGTATAGACTTGTATTAGCTAGAAAGAAAAGGCTAACACATCTCTATGCTTATCCCAAATTCTAGCAATAGCGATCCTTTCCATTTGCTCTTACCATACCTTGGCCTCCAAGGGAATGATCAAAACTTCTTGTTCCAAGTTACAGCGCAAGTTATATTTACATGCCTCCAACAGCTGCTAAGGTGACACTCAGCTATGGTTGGCATTTCCACTCCTCCCTGTAATCAACACTGCGGCAATACCCTTTTCTTTTAGACCAATTAATACATACTTGGTATCTGATTTAGCTTCTTTTGTTGCATAAACACCAGTAAAGTTACTAATAAAGAACAGATATTTCAGTCAGGTTTTCATTTTTAGCACTGCTTTCTGACTCATCCACAAAAGCTTTAACCTTTACCGTGTCTGGAAATCTTTGGTTATCTTATGTAACAATGGCTACCATAATGTAATCCTACTGTATATTAACCGGGTGGGGTGATGGGGAGAAAAGATTCACCGGTGAAACAACTGCCACGTCCTACGCGCTGCCATTTCAACATGGGTAGGACATGAGGGAGGAATTTCTTCATGTTCCACTTTGCAATCGGAGGGAATTCCTTACACCAGTTCCAGGGCTGGCAGAGAGTTGAACTGGTTCCTGGCACTTATTGGAGAAGCAAAGGGGTTCAGGCGGTGGCATATCCACCCCTGCCCTATCACCCCTCCATACCTCCTGGCATGCCCAGTTTCCCTCTCCCCTGCCAGCAGAACATCACAGGCAGGACACCTATGACCATGCAACTTCCCATGACCAGGCCAGTGGACTTTGGGCAGCATCCTTATCATCCCACCAGTCTGTCTCTTTCTCTACTGCCAGAGCAGCATTCACGCCACTTCCCTGAAGCTCAGTGAGTTTAGAATCGCTCTCCAGATTGTTTTCTGTAACATCTGAAAGATGAATGACCCTGCCGCTTGGGAACCAGGAGGTGGCCAGCCCAACGGACGGCAAGCACGCGCCTTTAACAGGTTTATTCCGCTGGCAGGGATTCCTTTCAGAAGCATTTGGGTAAGTGCTGCACACCACGGAGTTCAATCTGCGCTAAGCAGATTAGTTCTTTACCGGTGAAAGGTTCTGGGCAGCAGGATAGAGTTACTCACCATGTGATATGAGGCGCTTGTCATTAGGTTTCACTGATAGGATATAATTATATGCTCCCTGGAGGGTACTTCTAATTGAATTATAGGGTGTCTCACAAGCATTCTGGGCAGTGGTTAAAGGAAGCTGAGCCGTTCTCTTGCCCAGAAGATAGAGACACACCCCGTAATTAAATTAGAAGTACCCTCCGGGGAGTGTGACCTTACCTCATGAAGTCATTTGTTATAAACACGTCGATTGTTGTTGTTTTTTTAGTTAGCAATCTTAAGATTCACAGATTCCCCTCCCATATCCTCAGCTTGCTTGCCCCTGCTTAAATCTGAGATATGAGCAAGCCTATAGCTATTTTTGCACAGCTCTCTCCTACTCCCTTTCTCCTCCATCCGCGATTGTGTCAGAAAGCATGACACTACTGGAGGTGCTATTTTCACCCAGGAACAAAGATTATATATTCTGTCTGCAAATATTGGATGAGGAGTTTAAATGACTAAACTACACGTACAGTTAATTACATACCTGCTACCTGATATTTTCCACCATGCCTTCAATTGAAAACGAGGTTCTCCTGTAATCAAACTGGCTGTGCTGAGTTTGTTTTACACAAAGAAAATAGCGTCCTCTGTCTCAAGGCTCCCACCCCAAACGCTACGAAAAGAGGCTCTTATGTACGGAAAAGTAAGAAAGCTTTATTCAAGGTTTACAATGGCACAGATCAGGCCACGGATACAGATTCCAAAGGCATGGTTAAAGAGTTCAAGAACAGCATCAGATTCCAACAGCAGACAAAAGCTGCAGAGGTGTCTCAACAAATGGTCACACCCTTCCAGGCAGCTTTTAAAGGCAGTCTTGGGAGACCCTTTCACCTTACAATATGGTGCATTTGGAGGGACAAGTGTCTGTTGCTAATGGTGGAAGCTCCTCTGGCTCCTCCTTCCCTCCAGCTGACCAGCCTCCTCTCTCCAGCTGGTCAACACCCTTCCTCAATGCTAAGGAACCTGTACTCCACTCTGTTGATGGGGCAGGACAGGGAGACAGCAGGACTACTGCTCCTCCCTGACATCTAAAGGTGAAGGAGCAAGGCCAGAGTCCTTCCCCTCAGCCCATCCCTGCTGACAGTGCCTTCCAAGCCCTCCTCTTCTTCCTCCTCTGACAGCAATTGTCATCCTAGCCTCCAGTCAGTCGGGATTGTGGGGCTCATGACAGTGCTCCGCCTCAGAGGGGTAGCTGTTAGTCTGTTGCAACATTGTAAAGGAGACAGTGCAAGAGGACAGCTATAAATATGTAGGAAGCCATGACCTGGTTTAACACAAGCCTGAACTGCAGTTAACTTAAAAGCAAGGACAGTTATTGCACGACCCTCCATACATTGCTGGACTACAGCTCCCATTACCCCTAACCGTTGGACATGTTGGCTGGAGCTCATGGGAGTTGAGAGTTCAACAACCCTCTGGAGGAGGGCTGCAGAGGAAAGGAGAAGATTTCACAATGTGCACCTCAACAGCTGAACCTCAACAGCAATATAAATGAATCTGGGCATACATGGCAAATTTCACTGTGATGCTTTGTGAAAAGAAACTGGAATTGAAAAAGCCAGTGCCCTGGTTTCATGTACTATGAAGCTATTTGCTCAAGTTCAGTGTTAACCACACTGAATATTGGCAACCCGTTTTATTTGCATAGAGATCCCAGAAATGAGCTTTGGGTACCAGTGATGCTTGCATAAAAGATGAGACAATCATTATGAGCCCCCAAAATATTCTGTGGGCCAGAAAGTAATTCCTAGCTTAGCCCACCTCACCTTATCTCCCCCAACCTTTCCATCCAGTCTCCCTCCCTGATCCCCTCCAAATTGCCTCTTCCCATCCCTTTCAAAATAACTGACCTGTCAGGGGCAGCCAGATGCAAGGAAGGCCTGATCATCATGACTATTACACCAGTCAACTGACATATGTCAGGAATTCTAGCAACCTTTCCAGCACGATTCCCTGTTAGCCACCCTGTGTATTTCTGTTGCAACAGAAAGTGTGGTATATAAAATACAGATAGGAGCATCTCCACCCTCATCGTTCTGCCTGGACACTGAAGTCCAGCTCTGAGAGCCTTCTCGCAGTTCCCTCACTGCGAGAAGTGAGGTTACAGGGAACCAGGCAGAGGGCAGTAGAGGTGCCCGCCCTTGAAACGCCCTCCCATCGGATGTCAAAGAAATAAACAACGATCTGACTTTTAGAAGATATCTGAAGGCAGCCCTGATTAGGGAAGTTTTTAATATTTGATATTTTTTATATTTTATCACATGATGATGATGATGATGATGATGATGATGGGAGCCGCCCAGAGTGGGCAGGATATAAATATAAATATCATCATCATCATCATCACCACCACCACCACCAATTATAAAATTCATGATATTGATTTTACCCATCATGAAATGTTGAACCTGGCATATTTTAAGATGTTACCTACGTTTCAAGAATTCAGCCTTGGGAATTCACTGCCAACTCACTTTATTATGATTATTTTAATTTGTATGCCATTTTATATTACTAGCGATCTCTAAGCATTTACATATTCCAACAAAAATCAACCTATATTGCTAATGTTAATTTAAATCTCAACTACCAGAACTAGCGACAATAATTTCTTCTAATCTTGTGTGTGCGTTGTTGTTTTTTAAAGTTCTTTCCAAATATGGGCAGATCCGATTTTGTACAGCTTACAAGGAATAGATAAAGTTTCAATTCAGAATGGGAATGTACACAAGGCTCTGTGAAAGAGGAAAAGGAATGGCATTCCTCATATGTCTTCACAGGCTCCGTCAGCATGATGACTATCCCATTGTCATTCGTATTGTGTTTTCTTTATTCCTGTTGAGGCTGCCTCCAAAATGAAACTACGCTCCTGTTTTTTATTCACCTGCTTATAGGGAGGTAACACCAGTTGCAAGACTTATTGCACTTTCATAAGCTAGAACACTTTCAGCCAGCCTCAAAGTCTTAGGGGCACTTTACATCCTGGCATTGTCCTATCTGCATAGCTGTCAACGTTTCCCCCTTTTTAGGGGAAATTCCCTTATTCCGAATAGGATTCCTTGCAAGAAAAGGGAAAAGTTGACAGCTATGCCTGTCAGCTCATTTAAGAACATGGCAACAAAAAATACCGTACTTTTCTGTGTATAAGACGAGGTTTTTAAACTCTAAAATAATGTTAAAAATCTGGGGTCATCTTATACATGGGAAGTGCAGAGGGGGGTTGGGCGATTGGTTGCATCTGTGATCAGGAGCTTATCAGCAGTGATTTGGTGGGTGGTTGCATCAAGGGCTGGCTTGGATTGGCTGGTGCTGCGGCAATTGGGTGGGTGATTGGTGGCTGCGTCAAAGGCTGGCTTGGATTGGCTGCTGCTGCGTCCAATTGCTGGCTGCTGTTGGCTTTGGCGACGCGTGCGATAGGCAGCGTTTGTCAGTCGGGTGAGTGATATTTAGCATTCCCCCCCCCAAAAAAAGCTCAACAACTCTGGACCATCTCCCCCCATTTTCTTAAATTGGAGTCCCGCAAAATAGGGGGCGTGTTATACACAGGAAAATACAGTAATTTTATTCCATGAATACAGTGATTGTATGAGGCACATCAATCCTTATTGCGTGGCAAGTCCCCTCCCCCATGTGAAATGAAGACACCGGACACCTTATTTAAGGTTAATGGTCATAAAAAGGCCACAACTTTATTGATTACAGGAATTGAAAGGTATTAGCCTTAGGCATTGGCTCCTATCGACTACCCGGCATGGAGACCGGGAAGGGTTATCCACAAGCCGTGGGAGTCCTGTTGAAGTACGCCAACTAGAATCCCACGGGTGTCACCGCTCGGGGGCGTGCCGGAGGCCCTTACCTCCCTAGGTTTCGGACAAGGCAACGCCCCCCAGAGTCCTCTACCGGACTACCCTTTTCATTGGGGGAAGGTGATGGCGCTTCCTTCCCCCTTCATTTGCATAACAATTACCCCCGCCAATGCCTAACCGCCAATACCGAGGAAGTTGTGACATTTGCTATGAGGTAGGCGAAAAAACCAAAAGGCTGGAAGTGCGCCAAGTTGGAAAAATTCCTACCAGGCCCCTTGCGGCGACCAACTGGAGTCCATAGCAAGGTCATAGCTAGCTAACCTAGAGGGTGGGTGGGATGGGAAAACCCGATCAGCTGCAACGGGGCAAAGAGGGCGGTCCCCGGGCGCGCCTGGCCTTAAATGGGCTAGGCCACGCCTCCCCAGCCCGCCGATTGTCAGGCAGGGTCGCAGGCACGCCCGGGGATTCCCTTGTTCTCGTGGGGGCAAAAGGTCAGCCCCCGCGTGTGCGGGAGGGGGTGTCCCGCAACCCCCTCTCCTCTGAAGTTCGGAAATGGCTTAACAACAAAGTCACCTTTTGAGCAAAAGAACATTGTTGCTGCTATCCATGGTGCTAAATGCATTTGCTCTGGACTGAAACCTTGACTTTAGCATGGAGACCCTCTTTAGTACAACCCAAACTACCAGGTACATAGGAAAGCAACTACTGCTACTCATTGCACATGCTAAATTCAGCTATCTAAGCTGGTGAAGAGAAAATGCACCTCACACGCAAAAACCACATTCTTGCAGACTTAGGGTGCAAACACCCCTAGGTCAGGGGCAGCCAAACATATTTTGCTGCCTGAGGCAAAGAACAAGATTGCACCCCTCCTTGTTCCACGTGTGGAAGCTAACTGGCCTGGCTGTTGCATCTTATTTCAACACTGGTGGCAGGATCGCACCCCCCACTGCACCTGCAGGTCGTCTAGGGGGTCCAGGACAGGTCATGTAGCATACACAGCTCTGTACGGCACCAGGGCTTGGGGGGACAGTAGAGGATGGCCCAGAGTGGTAGAGATGCCCCTACAATACTACCACCAGTAACTATGAGTTGGATCCAAATAATAGCTAGTTTCACAAAAGCTTGCACAAGAGGTTGTGCAAAGGTTTACATAATGCTTTAATATTAAGGATCTAAAGCAGTTCTCATGATTGCACAAGCTCTTTGGATAAACATTTTCCACATTTGTAAGGGCACTTTTGGATTCAAATCCTTGTAAAACTAGGGTTAACACTGCAGCATGAAGTCTTACATTAGTCTAACAGGAGGTCCTGGCACGTTTCCCATTCAGGGGTGCAATACTCGGTTGGTGGATAATTTAATGACAGTGACGATGTTTGTACTACCACAGCATATGAGGTTCTGGCACATTTTCTGGCTGTATTAACATATGTACTGGCCTTTTTGCTGGAGCTTTTGAAGATGAGATTTAAATGTAAGGAAGCTATCAGGCATCCTTCCCAGACGATATTGAATGAGAAATCAGATCAACAGGTTTGCTCCCCATTAATATTTCCAGAGTCTTATTTAATACCTAAAATGAAAAGGTGTTGGACATTCCGATCCATACTGGAAACGAAAGTTCATTCTGGCAGAAATATATTCAATATGTGAAAATCTAAGGTTAACCACTATCCATTGGCCAGCTTTAACCCACATATGAGGCTCTGCCATCTCAGGGCATTGCCACATCATCTTGGGACACTCTTTGGGACACTGCGCAAAGAGTTGTTGCTGCCTCCTTCCCGTCACTTTTGAAGCAGCACAAGCCCTTGGTGCGGCTCATCTGGAAGGAGCACTTGAGATCAAATGCAAGATTTGGTGTAAAGGCACAATATTGTGATATATAACCTTCAGTCTATGCCTTGTTTGGCTTGGTGCAACTGCTCACGGGATTCAGACTGGTCCATTCATGTTAATATAATTTAAGTGCCTTGAGGAATATGGACTTGTCTACTAAAGCACATTCAAAGATTGCGAAGCTCCGGGTAACCTTTTCAAATTATTTAGTCTTTGATCAGACAGACAGACAGACAGACAGACACACACACACACGCATGCATGCATGCATGCATGCATGTGATAGTAAATGGGGCTGTAGAAATATCTAATTCTATATAAGGGAATTTTAGGGATTTTCCTCCCAGCAGCAGATTTCTCTCTCTGTGTGTGTTTATCTGATTGAAAGCCAGTGAAATAAAAATAGATCTTTCCCTACAAAATCTGGAGGAAATGGCTGAGATGGATTTATTTAGGCTGCAAGGCCACAGTAAAGGAGGGCCGATAATTGAATCCTTCTAGCTTTGTAGCAAAGGGATCCTAAACAAAGGCCTTTTGCAGACCTGAATGAATGGAAGGGCTCATATCACATGGATGCTTTTTGTCTGATCAAAAAAAGCATGCACTCTGCAAATCCAGTGAAATGGAAAGCCAGCCACCTGCAGGAACAAGGTTGGATCTGGACTCTAACCCCAACACATCTATTTTTAATGGGGCAAGGACACCTTTTCAACAATGGCCAACCTTACCTTCTTCTAACCATGAGATCATCAAGCAACACCATCACCTCTAGGCTGAAGTTCAACCTACAGTTATGTATATAAAGAAATATGGGCAAGACCATGAATGAACCAGTATAGCAAAAGCAGATGGGAAGCGACTTTTTGCCTGCATTTCTAAACATCGATGGATAGATCTCATCTCTGTTCCATGTCACTAAGACACAGGATATAACAAGTTACTTCCTTACCACAGTGAGCAAGAGTAGCAGAACTCTGAAACCAACCACCAATTAGTTGTTTGACCTGAAAAAGGCCATTTTTAATCCACTTTGGGATAAGTTCCCTCTAAGATTATGCAAACACATGGCCCGTGAATTAATCTTACAGCCCTTCTACCATGGGCTGCTAAGAATCCTCTTCACCTATTATCTTCACTGTCAATGTATTTCACTCAAGCTATGGGCGATTTGGGACTCTGGGAGTTTCCCTCATTTGAAGTTGTCATACAAATCCGTTCACACGCCATTCCATTCCCTTCCACCCACCCACCCCTGACAGGATGCCATTTGTCCTTCACATGGACAGTTGGCATGTAATCCCCATCAGCACCTGTCAGCAAAGGCTGTAAGAGGGTAAAGATCAACCCAATGCTTCTCCTGTTTAAGCAATTGTCAGGGTGTCCCATTTCAGAAGACTGATTTCATGCATTCCTGAAACGCCACCACAATCACCTGATCCTAATCTCTAGAAAGCCGCACACAACACACACTGCTCCTCAGCCAGTCAACATGAAAACACCACGGATAATCTCCCCAAGTCATGCCAGCCAATGCAGAGCCAACATTCACGCTGAAGTGTTTCATACCATAAGTATGGCGTTTTATACCATAAGTATGTACCATAAGCACTGCATGTCAAAGGGAAAATAGATTTTTTTCTTAGTGATTATTAAATCCTGAAAGAAGGGGAGCTTATCTACAACCTTTGACTCATATCCAAGGAGCAGGACATAAGAATAAAT